GATAAGCATAAGTCATACTATAATAAAATGTGTATGCCTAATATGTTTATCAAGGGCCAATCGAATTTGAAATGTTCGGAAGTCGGAGTATTAGGCCTCATAGGAGCTAAATTCCAATTGGAAGCGCTGATGAGACTCCGGAGGTCGAACTTTCGGCCCACTTCATATAACAACAAAACTCGAGAGGCGAGGCTAAAATAAATTAAATATGGTGAGATTTACTCATATACTTTTGGTGAAATTAAACTATCCATTCTTCATTACTTTAAGCGTTCTAGGGTGAGTATAGCTTTTTTACAAGATGCCCTGGTAGCTTCAAAGCCTGACAATCTTAATATAAGCGTAGGTAATATATGCGATGACAAAATTGTGGAAAGATCGGTGATTTTTCTGTATCCTGATGATCTAGATGAAATATTTAAGCCACTTAAATGGTAAGTACTGAATTAGAATACCGTATAGGCACAAAAGATAGCTTAATGAACTCTAAAATTCAACTTATTCTTGATTTCATAAGTACATCCAGAATTTAATAAGTTAGTTAACCTTTCCCACAGGGAGTAGTCCTCATAATGCCATTGAATTTAAATTGGCATTGCCTCTTAAAAGCATATCTTATCCAGTATGAACTACACCGCCACGAGTGCCAGTAAGTTGCAGGTCAGATGTGACATTCAAGGCAAGACAGGCCTTTCCCAAATACTGTTAGGGGTGATGATGAGAGCATTGTGAAGTCGTAACTGCATTCCACATTGGCTAATGTAGCATTTTAGGAGGCAAGGTTAAGTGAAATGTAGTGGCATCCTAAAACATACCCATCTCATTGTAGAAAAACTGAAATCTCAGTTTTAAGTAGGCTTAAACGACTGAGGATGATTAAGTTATTATTCTAGAATAAGTGGAACCCTCTAAATCTACTTATACCGAATATAGCGTTGTGTTTAGGCGAAGATTGATGCGGATATGGAAAATAGAAAAATAAGGTTTAGTAAGTTTAATGATAAATTTCACTTAATCGGGATTTAAGAACATGAATCGATATAATAAATCAGATATATAGTAAAGCCAAGTAGAAAGAATAAATCGCTTAAATGATATAAAGCACAAAAATGTATAGATTATAAAGTAATGGTGTTATTATTACCTTTCCACGAGTCAATTCCGTTCCGCATATGGCAGGGGCGAGAATCAGACAAATGTCGATAGGTTGTATCAAAGGAAAGGCGAATACTGAAGGAAGTGAGCTGATATTAATGGAAAGATGGCAGGTTTAATAAAAGAGAACAATTGTACAAATTTATTCGAGGTAAAGCCTGCGAAAGTTTTATCGTTCGTCCTCGGTTTATCTATATAAAAAACTATGAGATCTAGTAATTTCAGTATGCTAAAATTCAATTATTAGTCTTTAAATAACCTTAAGAGATCTAGATAAAAGCAAGCTAGTATACGAGATTAACAGATATAATGCAAAATATCCACATCCAATACAAAATTAGTTTATTTGAAGACAATAAAATGAGGAGAGCATTATTTGGTCAACGAATTTTAATGTAACCAGAGTCCCAAGAATCCCAAAAGGCTACTCAAAAATAGCCTAAATTTTCGCCATTTTCTAGGACTTGCCAGCTCCAATAAAATTATTAAAAACAAAATAAGGTAGGACAAAATATATGAATTAGACCAGTAGTATAGTTATTGCGCAGAAAAACAACTTTTGTCGAGTATTATTTAGTGCCGTAACAAAATGAAGAGGGATAGAAATAGCGCCAAATTGTGTACTTAGTCAAGTTATAGAATCCGTGCTTTATAGGTTTAGGTATAAAGATGCAGTAGTGCGAAGCTTCTATTTCATGATCCACATATTTGGGGCTCGACGTGGGTAAGAGCCATTATGAGAACAGATCTAAGCAGAAAATGCAACGTTGGGTTGTTAGGAAAACTTAGCAAAAGTAATACATTCAAATTAACAGGTAAAATCAAGCCTCTTCCTTAATCCAAAGTCGACATTAATTAGCAGTTCCTGAAGCTTGAATATATCAAACATTCAATAGAATAACTAGGTAAACATTGCCCTTAAGCGTAACAACTTTTTCTATTATTTCTACATTTTAAGTGATAAACTGTGATAACAGTGGACAACAATGTGATGCTTGTTAGTAACGTATCGGAAAGACCAAACTGTGAGATAAAAAATATAACCAATCATTTCCCTTAATCATATATATTTTCAAATAAGGCTAATAGTACTTGCCGCTATAAGGTTAATAATTTTTAGAAGTGTATACTTTCAGTTTATAATTAAAGCCTGATCATATTACACCGAAAATGTATAACAATTCTTATTTACCATTAAGGGTAAAATATTTATTATTAGTAGTTATGGCTAAGATTGATTATGTAGAAAAAATGTTAGTGGCATAAGATGATGATACAACATATAGGACTATAATTAGCGACACGACATAAGGCTTTAAGGTCAGACTTAAGGGTCTGCTGCAACAATGTGTAAGGAGTGGAGAACTGGAAAAGTGGAAAATGAATGCACTTCACTAGCAAGATGCTAGAACCCCAAATGCTTTACCCAAAATACGTAAGCAAGGTACTCCACATAGGATTAATGTAATGATAGAGGTAGCGTGATGCATAAAACAACACGATTTATATGTACTCAGTTAAAGCAAATCTACGAAAGCTGGAAATTTTCAGCAAAGAACTCTTGCGACATCATTAAGTTAAGTGATGACCAGACGAAAGAAAGATAAGATTTGCTGGTAAGCTTTGATGTAGTGTACACTAACATGTACATTACCATTCCGATAAACGAGACAGTGTTTAAAAAGAAATCAACAATATCTTTAGTAGAGGTTGTTTGATCTTGTTTTCGCAACTTAGTCATAATATAGGAAGACCTAGAGAAATGCATCTAGTCCGGAGTCCATTGTACGCATGATAATTTCCAAACTCGGACCATGGACGTGGTAAATTCCTAAACGTTTCGCCGACATCGTATTCGGCATGGTCAGTGAGTTTTGCCACCCTTAGCACCATACTACAGCTCGTCAAAGAGACAAGTGAAACCGATCCTTTGAGCAAACGTGTGCTAAAAAGTTTTGGTATTTCTCCTTCTGCCCTGGGCTATTCACATTTCCTATATCCTCTTATCATGCCTTCACTGCTACAATTTTTACCGTACTTATTTAGATGTAGTGTAGTGTGCTCCTTTGGGCGGCATTCATGAAAGCCATCCACAATCCACGCTGGCATTCTCACTCTCGCTTCATTCTTGGGCTGGGAATGTTGATCAGTCTGCCATATTGTTACGTAGTCCTCTTTCCCTAGGTCTTATCACAGTCTCCCTCTTGCCCCGTAAGATCCACCTGCTATCTCCTGGTTCACGGATTTCACTCGACCGCTGCCACTCCATTTGTGCTACTCGAGGCGTTATTACTCCTCCCCTGCGTCTTTGTGACTAATTCTAGGCTAACGCCATAAAGTAAGTCTCATGGTCACGCCTTTGCTACATGGACCACGTCTCTGGTTTAAACCTACTATGAGCCAACTAGCTCCAGTCTCCGCCGCGTCTATCCTGTTTCTATCCCTAATACCAATTCTATGACGTGCTATGTCCTAGTCTCTTGTGTGCCAACACACAAACGTTGTGGTTCAACATTGAACCTAATCGAAGCAAGCAGATGAAATCGGAAAAGAGTATAAATTCTATGATATGACCGTAGATAAAGAAGAATCACGAATATTATGGCAGAGGACGCGGGACTAGGTACGTTCCACAAGGACTCCTTAATGCCCCGAACAAGTTGCGAAAACAAGGTCGAACCAACATTATAAAGCTTAAGGAGACTGCGACCAAAGAGAAGGCCACACCATCTTGGACTTCATCTCTACCATAATTTCGCATGTTTATTTCAAGTCATAGTGAAATGGTATCTAATTAAAGATACATAAAATAGCTAAAATAGTAGATGGCGAAGTTAAGCACTGGACCAAAATATTTTTAGTGGCTATTTAAAAAACTTTCAACGTACAAATAACCAAATTAGAGAGGTAATATTGGGCAAAAGACTATATATTGTAGATGATATCCATAAAACCTCTTCTTACCTCCGGTCATATCATATAATGTATACCCTTTTCCAATTCCATCTGTTTTATTGGCATTAGAGAGAAAACGGTTCAGCCCATCTGACAGACCAAGCTAATCCTCAGAGTTTACAGGCTGGTAGCCAGTCTCCGTTAGATCTTTCTTTTTTATAGCTTAAAATAAACTCTTGATCAGGCCATGATTGCACTTATAATATTAATGCAAACCTAAGCATGTATGACTAAATAGCGCCACTATATAGCGCAACCAAACAATCTCACGGATTAGGGACAATATGCCACGAGAAGCAAGCCCATACTCATAGCTATTACAATTGGTTCATATGCTTGTCTATCCCTTCTTGGCAATGGGTTGAATCATTCCCCTTTTCTGTTTCTCGAATATCGAATGTTTTATTTGTCTATCTTGTGTATATGTATATACATAAACGTGTCGCAAGGCCTCACTTTCCGAATAGAGACTAAATAAAAAGAAAATTATAATATAATCTAGACAAAATAATGATTCGATGAATTCCTTTTATTCAAACTCTTCGTGTCTAGCTTAAGATTTCTGCTGGAAGCATTTTACATTTCTGCTTTAAAAGCAGACTTAGGCGCAGCTCTCGTGCTTTCATCCTATGAGCATAGACTGACTAGTAAGCTTCTGATTTTGGGCATCTTCTGTTAATTATAACTGATCATGTAAGTAGTATACAAGCCATTAATATTTTATAGCCATGACATCCTTGCTTAAAATAGATAGATCTAGGATCAAGCGATGACTATCTTAATCATGGTGGCTACATCATATTATATTAAATCTCAAAGCCAGGTTGAAGTTAATCCCACTGGTAATCGGATAAATGATATAATCTCTACCCTAAATGCCTAAGCTTAGCTCACCTAGAAAGGCTAATATGACCCTGATTCCAGTCTAGTGCTGGGTTTTGTCCGCTAGTCAGAGACTGTAGGAGAGGAGTCCGATCAGCCGATGATATTGTGCAAGAGTTCGATACCAATAATTTGCCCGAATTGGCACAAATCTCATCTGACGATATTTTGTCTGACATAATTGTCTGTTCTGCGTACTGTAGAAGTGGAGATGAAGATGAGAAAGGAGTAAGGGAAGAGGGGATTGATGAGGTAGTGGCAGTCGGGCACGGAAGAATGGCAGCGTGAAATGCGACTGCCCAGAGGCCGAGACGCGCAATATTCACTTGCGATTGACTATAGTTTTCAGCTGTCCGACTGTTCTGTTCATTTGTTGACACTCCAGATAAGCCGAAGCTAGTGACCATACCGGTTGCAAGATTGCTAGTGGAGGTAACGCCATTAGCAAAAGGACGGTGTAAGTTAGGAGCAAAAAGCGGCTGATCAATTGGGTTGGATAGATTTGGTCTAAGCCGAAAATCGAGGAGAGAAAAGAGAAGGCAGTCAGGTGCTGGCGAATCAGGAGAAGAAGGGACCGATAAGAGCTAAATGAGAAATACAGGGGAGGAAATGGTAAGTGAATGAAATACACTATATTGTTTTATTGAGTGATTAAAAATAAAAAAAGTTTGGTTAACTGTAGTTTGAGCAAAAACTTAGAGTAAAAAGTAGAAACAACTATCATGTCTAGATTAATTATCACATAATTGTACAAAACAAAAAAAAATCATATAGCTCTGATGGTAGACAAGAAATTACCAATTAAAGCATAGTTTCGAGGTATCAAGTGTAAAGTCTGGTAATAGTTTACCAGGATTAATTTGGCCTACTCTGGAATATAATGACGGAATAGATTATAAACACTACAAATATAAATATGCAGAAAACAGAAGAATATTAGCAGAAGAATCGTATGCTTTTATTTGAGCTAGAAAGCCAAAAGCATGAACAAAAACGTTTAAACTCATAAAGGAAAACGAAAGAAAATAGCTTACCCCACTGACTGGGTAGAAGACTCGAATGCCTTTTAGATGGGCTTCTGTCAAGGGGAGGCAGTGTGAAACAAATGCCGGACGCGAAAAACACGTCACATTGCGATCCAACTTCACTCCACTCGAGAAAACGCTCGGTAATACGGCTGTTCCTGATCTATATCTTTGCAGCCTAATTGCACCTTCAACTAGAGCAGAAGGAGAACTGGTGACTTTGGAATTACCCGTACAGAAACCTGTAATCATACGTAAAAACGACGCCAACTTATCAATCAGTTGAGGACAAAGAACCAAATCAACTGCCTCAAGACTGAAGTGTATTTTGTTGATGAAGCGGTGTTTTGATGACTCTCTAAAATGACCTTCATCATGACCACCAGAGCTAGTCGCAATGAGTTTCTTTTTAAGAATTTTGTATTTTAATCGCCTTTTCCTCTGTCCGTCTTGTCCAGAGGACACTCTGGTGGAGACCAGTTTACTATCAAAAGCCTCTTGTTCATTCTCATGTATTTGATAATTATAAATGTCGTCGGCAATGAGCCCAACATCTACACTTCTTCTGTGAAATTCTGGTCCTTTAATGCATTCTGCTTCACAAGGCCTAAAGCCGAGAAGTGACTTAGCAGGATCGGTGTCAGATAAGTAAGCTGCCCAATGGTTAAGACTCGGGTCAATTTCATTTGAACTTGTTGGCGATGATTCCATGAAACGGGAGAATGTTAAGACAAGAAGATGCTGCTGGTGCTCCCGATAATGTTGGTGTTTTCGAGATATCTCTTGAGAGTTTGAGAGTAATCGGGCGGCAGGCAGTCGAAGATTAGGTCGAGTTTGAACACGACTCTGTCTTTTATCCGCCAAACCGATTAAATGGGACAAATTGTGCGATTTCTGCATTCCAGTAGTTTGAGTTTGATCATTTAGAGTTGAAATGGGCTGAGTTTTAAAGGGATGACGTGGTCCGGGACAGAGCTCAAGGTTATCACGAAGCGGACAAAGATGGGTGGCTTGAGGGGCAAACAAACAAATACCCCCAGGATAGCTAGAGATTAAAAAAAATAAAGAATGAATGCTAAGATAAGTGTTGTTGTCTTACATTGTGATATATTTTCAGCCAAAATAGAAGGGAATGAGAATCATGATAAGCAAATACTTCGTGAAAGAATATATAAAATGCGTGCATTTCATGAAGTGGGAATGTATATTCTAAGGAACCTAAAGGAATAAGTTAAGGCTTCGTTTTCAAAGCACTCAAGCAAGCCAACCAAAAAATAACCACGTATCTGTAACTTTAAATAAAATCAAGAATTCTTACATGAACTAAAACATTCGAATGTATTAAAGAGGTTAAAGTTTAAAAAGCATTTTTGTAAAGCTGACATAAATATATATATATGTAATAAACCCTGTTGGCATAGAAGGTTGTTGACCTCGTTGTGAGACTTGGTCTTGTTGTCAGGGCAAATTACTAGAACGCACCAAGTCCGAAGTCGTCTGCCATAGTAGTTGTCATGATTCCCAGCATTAGACATTAGACTTGGTACATTCCCAAATTTTTGGTCGGCAACATCAGTGAGTTTTGCTAGTCTCCGCACCAAGCTACGAACTCGTCAAAGAGACGAGTGGAGTCAATCCTTACACCAACGTTCTGCCGAAAACGGTTACTCTATCACTCCTCTTTCTGTGTTGGCCAATCTACTCTTTACCCTCTTATTTCACCGCGGCCCTATCACAACTTCCCACTTGTTTACATTACACTCGTCAAAAGGTGTGCCCTTTTGTGACAAATCTAGTGTGGCCTCAACACACCTGTTACTCACCCCGACCCACTCTCTTTCGATCGGTTGATCCGATCGCCCCACTTTACTAATTTGCCTATCTTTTTTGAGAGAAGGCATGACGGTATAATTAGGACATGGGAACAGGCCTCAGTTTGTCTATCCTTGACTAAATGGTCTCTTCAGTAGAGAGATATTGTTCCCAATCAGGCCCAAAAGATAACTATTTTCCAGGAATAAATTTATCAGCCGTTTCAACTCTCTAGTCAAATGTTTGCTATTCGCTAGCCTCATACTTCAAATAATCATTGACTTAAAAATTCTAACCATAGTTACAAGAATATGGTTGGAAAGAAAATCGAACAGAGACAACATATATTCGCTTCTTATTAAGATCTCTTCCTAACCTACCCTTTTTTTCTAGTGATCAGAACATCCAGAAAGGGTAAGGACTTATTCTCTTCCATTTTCATTGCGAACCTAATGTTGAATGAAAGTAGAAAACTACCTAAACCTCCCTTGCCATTAGGCCAAATGACAAAATAGTAACCCATATATCTAACCAACCATTTGGGGGTTAGTATTGCCTCTTGCAAGAAATGTTTCTCCAATCTTGCCATATAATTGTTCGCTAAGATGGAAGCCAGGCAAGATTCCATCGTTAATCCTTGTTTTTGTTCGTATAACTTGCCATCACAAGTAAAATATTTGCTACCCATGGATAGGTTAATAAGTCTAATTATAGAAGCTACACTCAGCCTTATTCCTTGTGTTATCTCTAGATGCTCCTCCAGAGTTTGTACCAAAGATTGAATAGCTCCTTGATCAGGAATACTTGTGTACATAGACGCAGCATCAGAACCCACTAGCCTATCCTCCTCTATTTCACAAAATCATAAGAATTATTAACTGAATATAATCAAAAATTGGCAAATTTACTTAATTGAATGAGTAAAAAAACGTGAGACTTTATGCATCACGCTTCCTTTATTGTTTAAAATTAATCTTAAAAAGAAAAATAATTATCATTTGGGTCTTATTGAAAATAATATCTCTTTACTGAGGAATAAATTTTCAGATGGAGACCATTTGATAAAAGATAGAAAAGCTGTGAACTTTCCAATGTCCTAATTTTGCAGTAATGTCTTCTATCAAAAAAGATAGTCGAATTAGTAAGAAATAGTGTAGCATGACCAGTATGAAAGATAATTAGCCAAATCACTCTATACCTATCTAGGTTTTTAATTTAATTTTGGCTTAATTTAGTCTATATGAGATAAGATAGAGCCGGATAGTCTTCTTGCCCGAGTGTTAACGTGAGACTTTTACAGGAATGTGACCCAGCTCTGATGATGTCCATCAGATGATAAACGACAGCTCAGCCCGTTTTCACCCTAAACGATGGAGGCCTCGCGGACTGCGTCAACCTGAACGTCGTATAAAAGCCAAACGGCTGCAGTACAACGGGATTCATCCATTCCCTTCTGGTGAGATTAGAATACGAATCTCTTCTTCATGCACCATCATACGAAATAAAAGTCCTCCCAACAATGCGTGATAACAATCACCGGCTGCATAAATAGTTCGTGAGCATATATTCAGACTAGCCTAGAAACAAAGAGACCGGAAATTATTTTAAGGTGTCAATTCAGCAGAATAGTATAAACTTATTATGAAAAAGTAATGTCAATCATATAAAGCCTCACTGAGCCGTCGGCTTCAAAGACAACTGAAAGCGACCTAGCTTTATCCGGGACTCAACAAAATACTCCTGCAGATCTAGCATCAAGCTTGCATCTTCCATATTCCAGACCAACTCGGGGGGCGGCAGTAAAGAAGGCTCTTTATCCAGCTTGAGCATATCAAAACTATTTCTAGTCTGCGGGGTGAGTAGAAGATTCAACCGGCCTGAAGCTCGCGAAATCGTGCATTGTAGCCAGAAAGTCACTGAACATGGCAAGGATGATACATCATTTGAGGACGGGCTATCTTGATTGTAGTGAAGAGTAAATCGTCGACATGAGGTAATTCCACTAGTAAAGTTATCTTCTCTAGTGATGTCAGTTGAAGCAACAGTAAATGCGTCGCTGTTACTACTACTACTACCATGTACAGCAAAACAATCAACATTAGAGCCAGTGAAACAGGTTTTATCGAGTTGAATGGAAGAGGGAATTGCGGGTTGGTGCCACAGCGATTCGCATCGGGAGCCATGCAGGGCGCAAGGTAAAACGTCAGATTGGGAAGCACAAGACTTCTCATCACTACGGCAAGAAGTATTAGTATTGAAGCCACCCGAAAGGGATCCAAGAGAGCCGGGTGAAATCCAGCTACCAGAAGTAGAATGCCCAATCGATCGATAAGCGAATTGATCGAGGATGTGTAAAGCGGAAGGATTGAGAGTTGATAACAAGGCGTTAATGCGCCGACGAAATCTGCTCCACTGAAATATTTAATACGCGATGTTTATAAAATAATGTTAGAAGCAAGAAACAAGTGGCTTTCGTAAAAGGCAAGAGAAATTAGTAGCAGTTACAAGAAAAAATGAAAATATAAGATGACTATGACTATGAGAAAATACCACTATGAAATATTCAGTAAATTAAGATTTTGCATAGAATTCCCATACATTGCGATGATAAAATATTAATTATCATCTATTGCACATAATTGCACCACAAATATTAGGAAGCCTAGGATAAAAATAAATAACCCCGAATTTAACAAAAATATCCGTTTTAAAGAAGAATCTGATATAGTTATATGGTTATAGTTTCTTTAAATATTTATCAAGAAAACTTCAGTTTAAAAAGGGTTATGCGAAACATTCAAATATTTTATTCTCTTAATATTGACAGTAGTCTTTATTCATCTTTACCTAATTTTCAAGATCCCCATCCTGCTATCGGCTCTTCATGGCCCGTATATTTCTTTGTATTGCTTCTCTCGGGTTTCCGTTAACGAGAAATATCCGAGTCAACTTTTCAAATTATTTATCCCAGAATTCCACATCCGTTAATTGTAGGCTTCTGATGATTATGCTCCTCAGTATGCCTATTTTTATTCTATAGTTGAGGTGAAACTCGAAATTGAGTATTATTCCGGCATAGGACTTCTTTTGGAATAATTTTCTCTTGAGTATCCCATCAGAACCAATGACTTCCACATCTAGGATACCTTAACCCCCTTCTTCCTCTACAACCATTGTGAACTTGGTTATTTGATTAATCCGGTTTATAAGCTAGAGAAAGTCCTCCAATTTTTCTCTTCAATGCGACCATATTACAGAGTTGTAATCCAGGTAGATCATAAGAACCTTTTGTTTCAGCGGTGACGTCATGAAATTCCCTTATCATTTGTTCATTTATGCATTTCCCAATAGAGGTGAGAGCGGTAATCCCATATGAAGTCCAAACGTA